TAGATTTTCTATTTATATTTTTTATTTTTATTTTTTTTTGTCTCTATTAAAAAATAAATTCTTGTAAAAATGAGAAATTCAAAGTCTTTTTTATATATTTGTATCATGTTTTGTTTTTATTTAAAAATAAATTCCTGCGAAAATGAAATAAATAATTTGTTTGCATGCACTTAAACAACTATGGAAAGTTTTTTTTCGTTTGCTTTCTCTCTCTTTCTGTCTCTTTATCATTTTTGATTCCTTTTCTCTCTCTGTGGATTGAAAAATGGCGATGAAAATGGCTTCAGTCAATGCTACGTGGCGAGCTGCAAGAATTGGAGCTGATCTGAGCAAGCGGCGCTCAGAGAGCAACGGCTCCATCCTCAGTGGCAGCGGCAGCGAGTTCGGGATCGATCTCTGGCTCAACGGAGTTGTTGCTGGGCACACGCTCGGCGCCAGTGTCGTCGTTGACCACGATGACCTCGTTGGCGGGCACCGCCTCCTCGAAGGAGTCGTCGGTGGCCTCGGCGCTGCTCCTCACCTCGTTCTCGGACTCGGCGGGCTGCTCGGCCACCTCGTTGTCCAGCTCCAGCTTGTCGGCCACAGCGGGCTTGGCGGGCGCCTCGGTGACAGCGGGCGCGGCTGGCGCGGCTGGCGCAGCGGGTGTATTCTGTGGCCGATTGCCGCCCAGGAAATTGATGATGCCCTGCAGCGGACCCGTTTGCTGTGGCTGTGCTGCAGCCGCGCCCGTTGCATTGTTGCCGCCGCCAAACACATTGTTCACAAAGGCCTGAATGGGTCCGGGCGGGCGCACTGTGGTCGGCTGGGCGCTCTGCTGCTGCTGGCCCGTCAGCCCCGACAGCGTGTTCTGGAACTGCGTGCCCAGATTCGTGGCGAACTGCTGAATGCCCTGGAAGGCCTGCGTGGTGCTGTTGACCACACTCTGCACCGCATTCTGGGCGGAGGTGATGGCCGCACTGGGATTCAGAAAACCGGGCTGCGTGGGTGCTGGCGTGGCCACCTGATCAGCCTGAACTGCCGGCTGCTGCTGCTGCTGTCCGTTGAACTGGTTCAGGAATTGGCCAATGGGCGAGTTCTGGATCAGTTGCTGCACAAAGTTCTGCTGCGTGCTGCTCTGCTGGGTGGGCGTGGCCTGGGTGGCTTGGCGAACGTGTGGCACGGCATCGTCAATTTGCTGCTGCTGCTCCACTGGCTCAGCGGGCGCAGACTCAACTAGCTCTGCAGCGGCCTCCAGGGGCTGCGACTTGAGAATGGGCTGTGCTTCGGCTTGAGGCTCTGCGGGTTGAGGCTCGGCGGGTTGAGGTTCTGCGGGTTGAGCTTCCTCCTTCTCCTGCTTCTGCTCTTCCTCAATTTTGGGCAGCTCTGTTTTGAGCTCTGGCTCAGCCTGGGGCAGCTGCGTCTTGGCTTCCTGCTCCTGCTGTTCCACCTGTTCCGCTGGTTTCTCCTGCTCCGCTGGTTTCTCCTGCTCCACTTGTTTCTCCTGATCCACTTGTTTCTCCTCCTTCGGCTCCTGCTCCAGTTTCGGCTCCTCCTTGATCAGCTGCTGCGGCTCCTCCTTGACTATGGCCACGGGTATGTCGAGCGCCTCCCTCGCCGCTGGCTGCAGCACACGTCCCTGGCTGCCCAGCGCCAGGCAGAGTAACACCAAAGCAATTGCCTTCATTTTCTCTTTGCTCTTCGTTTACTGCTGCTGCTGTTACTGTTGCTACTGCTTCTTCTTCTTCTTCTTCTTCGGCTTCCAACTGCTGAGCTTGATGTACGCAAGCGCCTCACGGCAACGACTGTGTGAAATTTCTTCAGCCTCGACGCATTTATACACGCGTCGATGTCGACGCAGACGCCAACGCCGACAACGACGCTGCCGCAGCGGGCGTCGACGGCGACGGCGACAGCAACGGCAAAGACACCGCGGATCGAGTGAAGACGATGCCAATTCTTTGTGCTAAATGTCATTGAACTGCTGCAGGCGAAGGTGAGGACGGCATTGCAGTTGGCCCTTTGCATTGCAGCCACCATAATTGGCCAATTCTAAGGAGCTGTACTTGTTATGGGCGGCGGGGCGTGGCCGATTCTAGAAAATTGTACCGATCAAGGTTACACTGCTTCTTCTTCTTCATTGTATTTGTAGTTATGTTGTAGTTGTGGTTAATTAATAGATCGATTGGAGCCTGAGTGGGTTTGCTTGTCTTTTACGAGCGGCGGCCAGGGCCTGTAGCCATGTGGCTAAAATTAGAGATCATTAATTTGATAAGCGGTGGGAGCGAAATTCTATTTCTGGCCGTCGATTTGAAGTTAGGGTATTGAGGGAGTGGATGGTTTAGTGCTGGCTTAGACTAGGCTAAGACTAAGTATGATAATACAAATGGTAATGGGGTAATGATATTGGTAGTAAAATATAATCATATGTATGATAAGATTGAAGAGAATGATAATAATGATGCTAATGCTTATGCTTATGATAGATATTATCGTAATGCTTCTCATATTTATTTAGTATGATTTATTAATTAACAATTAATAACTATAACAAGAACAATAGGAACAGAAATTTATTTTGTTAATGAATTTGCTAATGGTCATTGCCATTGTCAATGTCAATGATAATGATAATTCTAATAGAAATGCATATTAATGGGCCGATTCTATTGATTGATTACAATATTAATGTCTATAATAAGAATGTAAATGACAATTTCAATGCTAATGCTATTGCTAATACTAAGGCTAATGACTAATAATGCAAGCACTTGCAATAATTCCAGCATTAATACTATGGCTAATTCTTATAATATTACATATGATATATTGGACTAATGAGAATGCTAATGCAATATTCATTATTATTATTTTATTGAGAAACCAAATTTAATGGGCATTAACTTTAATTAATTGAATTAAAAATCATAAAAACAAAAAACAAATTAATAAGAAAAAATAATTAATAAATAATTAGACTACTCCTGTCAATGCTAATACTAATGACTAAGTATACAAATGTACTGACAATGCGAATGCTTATACTAATGCCTATTAACAATAATGATAATCACAATAATAATAGGAATTTTACTAACCGTAATTAATAATATTAATAGTAATGATAAAAGCAATGAACTGTTAACTTGTTGATAATATAATAATAATCATAGTTATGAATATTTGCTAATGAATATTATAATATT